TAGGCAACGTCGATTGAACATGCTGAAATACTACGAAATAGAATAGAGCAAGACTTCCGACAAATTCGAGAAACATCAGAAATGATAGAGAGAGTAATCAGATGAATGACAAGACGCGTGCAGGCTTGTCTTCAAATGCAAGGTGGTCGTTTCGAGATATAATTTGCATCTGTTGCAAAAGTAATTAAAACAGAAAATTCATTATATCTCATAAACGAAGACAGATAGGACATATATTTATATGACTTTTTTCCATTAGTTTTAGGCATGCTTTTTTACAATCAGCTCCCGAAGCGAGTCCCGCAAGTTACGAAACACCCTGTATAATAGTTGATCGATTCTCTCGAGCGTTCTTCGTGCATCGGCGATCGACAGGTAACCGATAGTTTCACTGGTTGCATAACGTTGTCAAACGAACGGGGAGCGTGTTGTAACACAACAACTTCCCGTACCACGGTAGCTCGAATCGCCTTTAAACGAATCGAGGCGTTTCGGTCACAGATTTTGTTCGACAGATTCTTATTTGTAAAATTATTTATTCGAGGATTTTAGGTGGCCTCTTGAGACTTTTGGTAGAGTTGTAAGAATCTTGTGGACACTCTGAATTATTCACAGCGTATCAAAGTATCAAAGAGTTACACGGATAATCCATAGCACGGGATAAGATAAATTATGGATTCAAAGCAATTTCATTTAAGATCATTTTTGGCAATTCACGAGGTCTGTTTATTATTGAACATCTCCTAGAACTGAAGGGTATCATCGGTGACTTATTATTTATGTCTGAAGTGGATACGCGACTGTCTCTTACATGTTTAACGGCACTATCAGTCTCCGAAATTTATGAGCGTGTTGCAAAATTGAGCGATAATCCGATTTGAAATTACGTTACAGGTATAGGCAAGGAAACGAAGGAAATTGCTTTCCATGAGCGAACGTTACGAAGTTGAATTCACGTGTCCTGTAGCTGTTTTCAAAACAGAGTCCTTTTATCCTCGAAGCATACAATTTCACTGGGCCGAAAGTTTCTTCTTACCTATTCTTTCCTTTTCTCTAATAAAAACATCAAAATCTAAGAAGAAATTAATTTCATTAATGTTAAATGGAATTTGAGCTCGAACATGATTCGTTTTTTGTGTACTTTAATCTGTAAAAAGAAAAAAAATTAAAAAAAAATATGTAATAAAAAAAATTACGGATTTATTTTAATTTTTGACACGGCGGCAACTCTAAACAAGCAACTCTATATTCAACAGCGATTCAACAAATAGGAATAAATATTCATATTCTGGGATCTCGTGTGTTTTACTGACTTTTGAATCACAAATTATTATACAAAACGCGAGGACTCTAGTCCTAAACTAAATCGCGTGAAACGCTTGTAGAAACTGACAGTGAGGAGATAAAATTGATTACTGAGAATGGCAAAAAGGTGAAAAGAGATCACATGTAACGACCCGCTTGGTCTCATTTTGAAGCGCGAAGCTTCTACTTTGACAGACTCGTTTCTTCTTTTCTTTTTTTTTCTTCGAAGATGATTTCACATCACCTAAAGCGAGCATACATTTTTCTCGAAAACTGTCAAAATGCAAACGCGCGCGAGAAGATTAAAAGAAATTTTTTTCACAACTGAATGCAGCTGTGCTTTTGAAGATTGAAATGATTTCTTTGTGACGACCCTTTGGAACTTGCTGCACGATTTTATTGAACTTTGAGTGTCAGAGTCAAACGAAAAACTCTAATATTCGTCTAACCCTAATATTCAAAGTACAATAAAAAACACCGAACAGAGAATTTTAAATCATTGTTATAAAATCTTCAAAATGATGATCTTTGAATATCAGCGTCAAACAACGCAAATATTCGAGAAATCCTAATTCTAATATTCAAAGTACAATAAAAAAACACCGAACAAAGAATTTTAAATCATTGTAATTATAAAGTTATAAAATTCTCAAAGTATAAAATTATAAAATTATAAAATTTTTAAAATATAAAATTATAAAATTATAATATTTTTAAAATATAAAATTATAAAATTATAAAATTTTCAAAATATAAAATTATAAAATTTTCAAAATGATAACCTCTGAATATCAGCGTTAAACGAAATAAATATCCGAGAAATCCTAGCGTTTCGTCGTCTAACTCTAATACTCAAGGATCGTACATTAAATTTTAAAGCATCGTTGTAAATTGCTTCAACGCCGGACGATGGATCTAGTTACGAAAACAGTTGTTTTTACACAACAATATTTCTACACACGTTCGAGTTTCGACAAATCTCGAGGAGAAAGAACAATGTGTAGCAGTTTCACCTAGCAACCCGTGTCGATTTTGGCGACGTCGATTTTTTCAACTGTCATCGCGACAACTGTCCAAAAGCGAGCAGAGAACTCGTTCGCCCTGCTTCAGTTTACTAATTATCTTTCACTTACGAGCTGTTGTACACACGTGCACGTTACGAGAACAGGATACGAAGACGACGATTTTCACAGAGTCGGAGCCGCGCGGACCACGCAGTTGAGAACCTCGGCGACACGACGGAGATGGGAAAAGAGGTACTATTATCTCGCTGCGATGAGGACGAGAGAGCGTATGCTGGCTGCAGTGAGTAACACGCTCAACGCGGGGCTCAAACGAATGGAGAAGCGTGCAAGTGCGAGAGCGTTTGGTTTGCGCTCTAGGCGGCTGATAGCGCGTTGCGCAAACGTCATCGAAAAGTTCATGATACAAAGTCACGTTACGAAAACGGCGAATGACGCGAGCGCCCCGTTATATGTATGTATGTATGTATGTATGTATGTGCATCGGGAGCGAGAGCGAAAGAACGACGAGGGAGTGCATCGGTGAATGTTAATGCCAATTCGAACACGGCTGTAATAATAATGCCGGCGCCATGGCGATTGAACGTCAGCTCGATAACCGTGCCGACTTCTTTCCCACTTCTGATTCCGAGCAAGCAGGCCCCGATCGGGAATTCACGCGACATTTTCAAATAGCCCACGAAAGACAAGTCACAATGAAACACGACGTCAACATTGATGAGAAATGTATCACAAAAGTATTACAGGAACAATAAACAAGCAGAATATAAACAGAAACGATGCGCAACATGATGTTTATTCGTGTCCGTTGACACTCCTCGAGTGTTTTCTAATTTCATTTCGTATTTCGAGAAAAGAATGTTTCATGCTTGAATGTTGAAGCGTTTTGTTTCATTTTGAAAATATGCTTTAAAATATTCGATAATCCAAGCTAAAGTTTTACAAATATACATAATTTCATAATGAATAGCGAAAGCGAATTTCTTTTTCTACTCGAACATTGAACAGAAACGCTTAAGAGGTCAGTCGTTGTTTTATTTTGTTTATTAACTTTACAGACAAATCTTTTAAACGAATTTGTCAAATTGCCGTCATCACTCGGTTTAATATGTTTTTCAATTAATTTAGAGAGCTGGACGCGATTTTCACTCGTCGAATTTTTTTCGTCGAGCAATCATGCTCCGAAGGTGAATCTCTTTATGAGAAAATTATTAATAAAACGATTAATAATCATTTCGGGACTCGTATATCGCACGAAACTTTGGAAAACACTACTAAGGTTGTGGCGTTTATCGTCTATCTCAAGGAAGTTCTCTGATTGATCGTGTTCGTCTGATTGATCCAGTTTGCATCCCTCGAGTCTAGACGAGTTGGCTCTTTTAGCTTTACGAATTTCAGTGTCAAAAATGTGTCCCATTTTCTTCCTTCTTTTCTCAGATAATTTTTCGACTTGAAATTTACTCGATATTTAAATTTTCCGATACAATGAGCGTTCGATCGATCAATTTTATCGCTGGCTGTTCAACTGCGATTCAACTGAACTCGGCTGCTGTTCGCCTTATCCGACGCTTCTCGCTATCTCGATGCTATCGTCGAAGCACATACTCTCTTTGTGCAATATTCTCTATAATATTCATCTAACCGCGTGATTCGAGGGAACTAGAACATCGCGTTCTCGACCGAGCAACGAGGGGGGGGAGCAAAAAAAGAGAAAAAAAAAAAACGTCAAGGATTCTCTTTCGCGCTCGCGCGGGGCACAGTGCATGTTGAATCGAGCATAGTCCATGGTAATACGCAGAGAACGAAACTTCATTGCAAATGTTGACTTTGCACGTGAAAAATATTTCAAGAACGCGCGAAAACGATACTACTTACTTTCGATGATATTTGTTCGAGAAGAAACAGAGAGAGAGAGAGAGAGAGAGACAGAATTTACACCTTCCTTTTTTATTATTTCAACCAGTTTCGTTCGAGTATAGAAGTGAATGACACGTTGAACGAGAAAGGAGTTCGATTTGTAGCAAAAAAGTCGGAATTATCTTCGAGAATGAGGCGAGAGAAGAAAAAAAGAGCAGACTAGCTAAGATATTTGTGATGAAACGAAGATGAATAAATTATTCCGCAATTTTTTTTTCTTCCTCCCTCCCCGTACGACTGGCTGACACGTCGAACGAGAAACAAGTTAGTTCAATTTCTGAAAAAAAAGTTCCCGACGCACGGGATTAGAATAATTGTCACGATGGAAAAAAAAAAAGAGAAAGAAAAAACAGACTAGACGAGATATTCACCTAGTCGCGAAACGAAGATAGATTAATTATTCCACGCGAGTATCTCGCGTGATTAGCCAACGCGTTAGACAAGAAGCGAGGTTGTTTAATTTCAGAAAAAAGGAAAATATTCCTGATGCATGAGACTGGAATAATCTTTGAAGGAAGAAAAAAAAAAAAAAAAAGAGAGTACTAAAAGCAGACTAGCAAACTACTGAGATATTCGCGACACGAAACGAAGAAAAACCGAGCCGTTCCACGATTTCCTCGCATAACTAATCGACCGAGTCGAAGTGCTATCTTTGAGAAAAAGCGACTGACGAAAGAATTTTATCTGTTTTCATCCAGTGTCATTAACACAAGTTCCGATGGCTCTTGCGCCCCTTATCGAAGAATTTCTCGATGATGCACGCAAATTTTCTAGAAAATTTTCCGAGCAACACCGCCGATTTATATAACTCCGAGAGAGAGTCAGATGCTCTTCGTACGCCAGTTCGCCGGGAATACTGTTCCTCGATTGCATCAAAATAGATGCGGACAAACGCTCGAACAGTGTGTACCATTCATTCACGCCCCGACACGAAGGAAATACACTTTCTTCCGTGGAAATTCTCTCGTCGGAAGGCTCGGTGGCAATAACATCGCAACAAATCGACGCTCGAACGAAGAATCTTCTGGGTAACAATTATGCGTATCGATATCGTCTCTTTATCTTCACTCTCGAACGAAAATTTCAAGTTCAGATAGGTGTCCAGAGTCACAAAGCTCAAGTGCTCAAGCGAACAACTGTTTGAAAATGTTTCCTGTCGAAGCGTATCCTGTATCGAGGCTTCACGCGTCTCAGAGTGATTCCGAGAAATTTTCGAAAGTGTCGAGGTGTTCTTATCAAAATTAAATTTTGTATTCTGTTTAATAAGTTTCGATAATTTCGATGAAAATTCGTTAACGAGTTTCATTAGACCGAAATGGCCGGTTGATAATTTTTCTTCAGATATTTCACGTGTGTGTTTTATAGAAACTTGAATAATTCTAAAATACACAAATAAAAGCTTGTAATTGCAAAGCGGAGCGCTTTTACTTCAACGTCTCCGGTTGAAAATTTTATGCTTCACTTTGACTCAGTTCTGGTGCTGAAGTAAACAAAAATTGCAGAGAAATTAGAAATGCGAGGAACAGAAAAAAGTTAAGTTCAAGTTAAGTCAGGTCAGATTAAGTTTCATGCACAAGAGCTTTTTACAAAATTCGTTCAAGTCCCTGCAAAAACTGGCGTGAAAAGAATTTACAAACTGATCATTTCCGTCGTGTAATTCAATTCCACGCGTTAACGCGCCTTCTTTCTTTCTGTTTCAAACACACAGGATGAAATTCTCTATATCGGCTGTCTTATTGGGATTAATTTGGACGCTGAGCATCGCGAACGCATCGATGGAAACGTACAGCCACGATTACATCTTGATGGCACCTTTACGCTGTCGCGCCGGTTACGTCCGCCTCGGCGGAAGATGTCGGAAACTTTTGTAATTCCATCGTATCGCATAACAAGCAACAATAAAGTCAGTCGGACGGACAATAAAGCTTCGAGAGGCGATTGTTTTCAATTTTCATTCATATCCAAACTTGCAAAGCTGAACGGAAGCCGAGCACAAATTTTAATCCCGCGAAAGTACAGTCGCAAGACATTTTTTCGCGTGTACGTTATAGTCTCGGTTTCTGGGTTACGCAAGCCTTCGTTCGTGCGCCGTTTGCAGTTTCTGCTAAACGAGACGAACGTATTTCCCTCCGTGCAACCTACATTTCGTTTTATCATTTGGATTTCGCGAGTGTGGCGTGTTTGAAAAAAAAAAAAAAAAAAAGAAGAAAGAGAAATATCGGCCGATAAGGAAATTCGTCCGCCATATTGGCTCACCACTTTGCAATTCCGCGAATTTCCACCGTGATTATCGAAACGCAACCTGCTGGGAAACACGCTGTGACGGTGTGTGTATCGTTGGAGCGTTGCGCCATTACGAATGCGTAAAAAATAATGCCAAAGACGCGTGAGAAACAAACGCGTCAAACGCGTCTCGTTCTCCAACCGCTTCGAGAATATCTCAGACGCCATTTTTCTACGTATTTTTAGATACTCTCTCGCCCACGCGTATCAGTATTAATAATTAGCGAATCGACTATTAATAATTGGCAAATCGATCAAGTTGTTTACGAGTCGAGTGTCTTGACATTCCACGAACGATGATGGCATTCATCGAATGTCGGTGTTGGATGTCCGTGTCAAAGGAACGACATTTATACCTTGCCCTCGACGAACGTACATTTCGTATCATCTACCAGCAATTTATTTGCGAAGCTTCAGATAAAATGGCACGGCGTTGATAAATAATCGTTCAAATGGCATTTAACACGAAATTTTGTTGTTCATATCTTTCTAGCACGTGTGTTTCGTTTAAAATCCTTCTAGGGACGGGGTATTTAAATCCTCTCTCGCCAGTGAACGTGTTTTCATATAAATTATTGTTGTTTCTATATTTTCACAAGTTAATCAAATCAAATAAAGACTCAAGCTACTCAAAACAAGAAGAGAGAGACCGGACATTCGGCTTTCTCAGATATTACATAGATATATCGATGTATCGGACGTTAGTACTTAGAAGGTTCGTCAAGAATCAATCATCAACGTGTATTGCGGATTTGCTAGAACAAATATAATGTACAAGATTAATGATACATAGTTTCTCTGGGAAAATAATATCCTCCATTTACCATTTGTTAAACTCTCGTAAAAAGCAATAAAAAGTGCAGTTTATGTGAATTATCGAGCCTTCAGAAATCTCTTCTTTCTGAAATTCTTTTGTTCTTTTCATATTATTATTGTAGCTTTCATTCTAGGCGTCTGTACAATATTACAATAGAAGTACCCATAAGTAATGTCGTGTTTTAATTATAGTTTATAAAAAACATTAAATTGTAAATTTAAAAAATATTTATTTATTATTAATCAATTGATATTAAAATTTTAAGTTGAATAAACTATTAATCATCAAAATTAAAAAGATTTACATTACATGTAAATATTTAATTTTATATATATAATATATAATTTTATATAAATAATAAATAATATAATAAAGTAATTTAAAATAATTTAAAATTTATAAAATAAATAATTTAATTCATTTTCTTAAATATAATATTAAATTTTAAGTAATAAAAACTATTAATATTTTAAATTAATAGATATATAATATTTGATACTGCGCAAATTTTTTTTTTGACACTAGATGACAATGTTTTTTTGCCACTGGATGACACATGTTTATTAAATTTGAAAAAACAACGACATCACTTACAGGTATTCCTAATACTATCGTACATCGAATCGTACAACACCAATATGTATACGTTCGTCATAATCATCAGCAAAGGGTTAAGAGGGTTCATTCTACGTTGTAATCGTGATTGGCAAGGATGGAAAAGAGCCTTGATCTTTTCTTAGCGCGTCTTTTTATAATTTGTCTATGTTAAATCGTAGGAAGGAGGAAAGCAATATTATAGATGATCAACAACTGGAATTTGCTCTGTGAATAAGTTCGACGGCTATTACTGACTATTACTACTCAGCTAGTTATCGCTGAGCTAATACTGTCAGTCCTGAAAGAAACTTGTTAGATCGACGACGAATTTTTCTACAAACGTTCCCCGGTTTTCCTCGTCTTTTGCTCGAAGGCTAGACGACTAGACAATGCAAACGACAGTACGCGTCGAGATCCATTATTTTCAAGGTGCCGGTGTGTTTCGTGAGCCATCGAGTTCGCCACTGCGATCGCGTTTCCGGCGTGCATGCCAGTTTCAACCGAGCGATTCACCTCCGCTGGCCTAAATAAACAACCGAGAATACATCGACCCGACAAGCTAGCTACGTACTATCCCGCGTTGTTTATGCGATGGCTCTCGATCGTTACGGATCGGGAACCGGATCGATGAAATTTTTCGAAGGTTCTTCGAACGCGAAGACGGCCCTCCGCGGTGGCAACTTTCTTTTACGCGGTAAATTATATTTATATAATTAATTATAATATTATATTTATATTATTAATTATTTATATTATAATATTATAATAATATTTATATTATTTATATTATAACTTAATTATAATTGTTATAATAATATTATTTATATATATAACTATAATTATTATTTATATAATAATATTAATATTAATATAATATACTTAATATTAATATAATAAAATTTATATAATAACTTATTTAATTATTATTTATATAATAATATTAATATATATTACAATAATATTATAATAATATTAATATAATATTATAATATTATAATAATTATAATAATATTAATATAATATTAATATAATAAAATTTATATAATAACTTATTTAATTATTATTTATAATAGTAATATATAATAATATTTATAATATTTAATATTTATATTAATATTATTTATATATATATATATATATATTAAATTATATAACACTATTTGTTACTGTGGCACTTTTCATACGCGATATCAATTTATTGGAGGTCGGGAAATATATTTTTCTGGAATTTTTTAAAAGTGCACACCAACAGAAACTAATAACGATAAGAAAACTCGTACAGTGTTTGTTTTCTACAAGCCGCTGTTACGTTCGAGCACGTCGAATTTGATGAAAACTTAGCGAAAGATAAGATTGAAGAGAGCAAATCATTCGAAAAAGTTGACATTTTTAACAGCGTGACAGTAACAGCATGAACCACAGGCAAGGGAACTCGCAGCGTGTTGTTTTCTACAAGTTGGTTTATAATTATTCAGCGACGTTCGAGCGTGTCGAATTTTTAAAAGCTTGACGAAAGATAAGTCTGAGAGCAAATCGACCGGAGTGATTACTATTAACGAACGAAAACAAAGTCGAATATTTCAAGCGACGAGGATAATAAGTTTGTGCCAATTGAAAAGAAAAGGTTGATCGTCTCGAATTGAAACAGTAGCGACGCCGAATAAAATTTACTTTTGTTGAAAATTATCTATTGTTATTATTTTTTTATTGTTCTATTCTAGGTTAGCTTTCCTTTCCAATATTTTGTCCTCTTTTGGCACTAAGACTGTATTTACACGATTCTCATTCGCACAAATGGATGGTACTTAGCCTCTTATTCTTCACTGTCGATCAACCCCCCCCCCTCAAAAAAAAAAAAAATAATAATAAAGAGAGAAACAGAAAAGGAAGAAAAATGCTTGATAGCCGAGGCGCTGACACTCGTCAGAAAATCGTCGACGCGATTCGGTGGATTCGTCTGCGCGCCGGAAGGTCGACGATGCGGCGCGTGACGGAAATACCCGCGGCGATTATGGCGAAGAAGAGACGGCGTAAAAGTGGGAGCGTGCCACGTTCTGGCGACGCTCGGTTACATAAGAGCGTTAGCCCCTGGTGGTGGTTCGACTCGCGTTCTGCTGACGTTGGCCCCGAGCAACTCGCGAGAGCTCGCTATCGCGTCGTCGATTTTTCCACCTAGTTCGGCCGAGGTATCGGGCGAATTTTTCAACGACCTAGTTCCCCTTATCGCGTAGTTACGGAGGTAGAAACGCAGACGAGCCGGCCGGCGATTTCGCGGAACGCGAGCCAAACGTCGAGCCGTCGTCTCGCGTCTCGCCCGTTTGTCATTGAAAGCGCCTCAAGATCTAGTGCATGTGTTATCGCCGACTGCGTATATCTCTACTCGCGGACGGTATTTTTGCGCCGGCGGAGACTCTTTCGAGTTGGCGATGAATGAAACGACCGATGCTCGCCGACCAGACCCGGATGAATGAACTCTTTCGTCGGTGATCGAACACCGGGACGTTAATTCCGGATGGACGAGAATAGACGAACGATAGATGGATGGATGGATAGATAGATGGGTGAATATTTAGTGGTCTCGTACCGATTAGAGTTCCCTGGTTTTTTTTTTTTTTTTTTTAATATTTCAAAAAAGCGAGCTCAACAGCGGCCAGCGTTGACTACGAAAGAAGAAGGAAATAAAATATTAGGGGGATAATATTAGGAGTTACCTATAAATAATGTATATAATTTTTTGATGATTGTAGAAAATTTTGTTTTACTCATAATTACAGTTTATACAGGTTTAGTCTGTAATATAATTTAATTTAATGAGCACCCTAAATTTATATTTAATCAGAATATAGATTATGTCATAATAAGTTAAATTATTGTCACTGGCAATATCTGTTAATTTTGAAAAAAGAAACATTACCTATGGGTACCATTAATATATCATAATTTCTGTTCGTGCCATTTTCTATAATTCTCGAAAGTCAGAATTATCTTGTACGAAAGACTGTTAGGACTTTTTGTGAAAAAAAAAAAAAAAAAAAAAAAAATTGTCATCGAATTATATATGCATATACACAACGTTCAAACGAATGAGAAGACACGTACGTATATTAGTTCCTTGTCGTAACGAATCTTGAGGTTCCATAACAGAGAAGCTTCGTTCAAGTCGCTGCAATTTCAATTAATCAATGTCTTAATTTCACGGGGGATACGGATGGTTCACGGTTGAAACAGTAAACT